ATTGAACTTTGATTCTTGTAAAGCATGTATTCTCGCAGATTAATATGATGTTCAATCTCTTGTTCGTAGGAAGTGCGGCTCCTCAATATATATGTTCGACGAAATAGTTTGTATGGGCCAAGTAAAAGTTTCGGAAATAGAAAATTAGGTTTGGCAGAATAATACGTTGCTCGAGCGAGAAGGCTGCTTCGCTCGAGTGAGGGTCTCGCTCGAGCGACAGTGGGGCGAAGGTCGAACGATATAATCTCTGTTTCAATCGCTAAAGCATCACTCCGGCGAGCAGCAAGCGAAAAATCGGCGTGAATCCTTCTTATTCCAAACATGAAACCCCAAACCCCAAACTAACCTACCAACTATGAAACTTTACAATTTAGTCCCTAAACTTATATAATTGTTCAAGTTGGTCAATTTGTTCACGGAATCGCCAATACAAAATATAAACCTAACAAAACGAAACATATATCATTTTGTTATTTTAGATTCTTGGTTCATCCGTCATTTAATTTTCATTTTTTGTTTTCCTTTCGTTAAAAAAAAATCTAGTGATCAATTTTAATTTTTAACGAATTAAATAAGATAGTTTTACATGTCAATCTTTTTAACTTTCTTTTACAGAATCAATGTCGAAAAGATTGAAAAAATCAGTCATTTACAATCACTAATAAAAAATTCTTCGAAAAGTTAAAAATTAGTAATTTTATTATTATTATTATTATTATTATTATTATTATTATTATTATTATTATTATTATTATTATTATTATTATTATTATTATTTATTTATTTATTTATTATTATTATTTTTTTAACAATTCCTCTAATTTTTAAGAAATTTTCTGTACGATTTATATGGTACCTTGAATTTAAAGAATATAAGTGGAGAAATGGTATCATAACGAGAGTTTCATCCGTTAATTATCTCTTTATTATTAATTTTTTCAGGGTGGGGTGTGTTGTTGGTAGTGAATTATCTCATTTCAAAGTTAAAATTATTAGATTTTACACCTATTTATTTAAATTATATTTTCAATGCACTCCTTCAAGTTCAAATCTAATTTGATTTTCATCATTATTACACTCATACGTAATTTTTATTATTGGTGGCACCAAAATCCGATCTCAAGATCTTTGTTTACTTTAATATTATGTTGATCTATCTCATCTAAATACTTAAATACTAAAAATAAATAAATTTGTTTATTTATATTATATTTTTAACAAGAGTTGTTTTAGTAATGAATTAAGAAATTCTGATGGAACGATATATAAATTAAATGACTCAATCATGTCAACATAAAGTCCAAACGTCCGATAAAATAATTATCAACTTTTAGTGTATATTAAGCTTGATTTTCATAATAGTTTTACAAATTTGATTGTGCTCCTAATTTAAAATGTCTACGTCCGCCAATATACTTGTGTAAAAAACTTGAGAAGGAGAAATATATTAAAAGACAAAATCCAAGTTCAGTAGAGAAAAAATGGGAGCAAGAAAACAAGAGCTAAGTAGTGGCTTAAAATATAATTGAATAGATTTCAGTTATAAGAATTCTCGTTCTTCAAAGAAACACTTGACAACAAAAACTGATGGACTGAATAATTTATATTGTTCCAGGAGAATTACCAGACGAGCTTGGCAAGCTTAACCTTCAGGAATTTACTGTCAGCATCAACAGCTTATTTGGCACCATCCCGATTTCCATGTTCAATATATCAACATTGAAGTTCATGGGACTTACATCCAATCGGTTTTCAGGCCATATTGCTTCAACCATTGGGCTTTCACTTCCGAATCTCGAAGAGCTTTATTTGGGTGGAAACAGGTTCACTGGAGTATTTCCAAGCTCTATCACCAATGCTTCTAAGCTTACCATCTTAGATATGACCAGCAACTCTTTGACTGGCATAATTCCCGACTTTGGTAATCTAAGACTTCTACGGCGCCTTCATATTGCGGAAAATAATTTGACTCGAGAATCTTCAAGTCTGGAGTTGAGATTTTTCTCTTCATTAACACATTGCCGATACTTGGAAACTATAGAAGTATCTTTGAATCAGCTAAACGGCGTTCTCCCAGCATCAATTGGGAATTTCTCAACTTCTTTTCAAGCATTCAGAGCATTTGGATCTCAGATTAAGGGTGCTATTCCTGCTGAGATTGGAAACTTAAGCAGCTTGGAAGCATTATATTTAGATAACAACCAGTTGACGGGATTCATCCCAAGATCAGTAGGAAAATTAAGAAGTCTTCAACGTATATATCTTGAACACAATAGACTTGATGGATACATCCCCGCTGAGCTTTGCAATTTAAGCAAGTTGGGTGACTTGTACCTAAGTAACAATACGCTCTATGGGACAATCCCCTCATGCTTGGGCGAACTTAAATCTTTCAGACGTCTCTACTTAGACTCCAACAGATTGGAGTCTACTGTGCCTTTAAACTTGTGGAGCCTTAACGATCTCCTGGGACTAAACTTGTCATCGAACAGTTTAAGAGGCTCCCTACCTTCGGAAATAAAAAATTTGAAGGTCATCTACGAACTAGACTTGTCGCAAAATCAGTTCTCAGGTGATATCCCAAGCTCTATTGACAGCATGCAATCATTGGTTTCACTATCTTTTGCGCATAATAAATTTCAAGGAGCTATCCCTGAGTCTCTAGGAAATATAAAAGCCTTGGAATCCTTGGATCTGTCCGATAATAAATTTTCTGGATTGATTCCAAAGTCATTAGAGACACTCCACTATTTAAAACATTTTGATGTGTCTCACAACAGATTAGAGGGAGAGATTCCTGTCGGGGGATGTTTTGAGAATTTTTCTGCTCAATCATTTGTGCAGAACTATGCTCTCTGCAGTGAAACTCGACAACAATTTCCACGTTGTGGAAAAACACCTGAAAGATCAAAGTCAAAGATTGTGGCCGAATTAATGAAATATATTCTTCCCCCAATCATAGCAGTTATTCTTGCAATGGGCATAACCCTTTTGATGATAAGACGAAAATCACACAGACAAGTACCGGAGAGCGAAAATTCAGGCATTTCATGGAGAAGGATTTCTTATCAAGAACTTCGAGAAGCAACAAATGCCTTCAGTGAAACCAACATACTTGGAAGTGGAAGTTTTGGTTCAGTTTATGAAGGAACACTTTCTGATGGATTGAATGTTGCAGTGAAAGTATTCAATATGCATTCAGAACGAGTAACCAAGAGTTTTGATATAGAGAGTGAGGTATTGAGCACCATTCGCCATAGGAATTTAATCAAAATCATTGGATGTTGCAGTAACACAGAGTTCAATGCCCTGATACTGGATTACATGCCTAATGGGAGCCTGGAGAAATGGTTATATTCCCACAACTATTTCTTGGACATGCTAAAAAGATTAAATATAGCAATTGATGTTGCACTGGCTTTAGAATATCTGCATCATGGTCTGGAATTCACTGTCCTTCAATGTGATTTAAAGCCTAGCAATGTCCTGCTTGACGAGGATATGGTTGGTCACGTTGCTGATTTTGGTATAGCCAAACTCTTCGGTCAAGGGGAGTCAATGGCTCAAACGAAGACCTTGGCAACAATTGGATATATGGCACCAGGTGATGTTCCCTACTGAGATTCTGAATGTTCTGAATTTATTTTTCTTCAAATAAACTTGGGAATTCTTCAACTGGATTCTCAGCTTTTAATTCTGTCAACTGATCTCGTAAATGTTTAATGGCAATGTAGAATATGGAACTGAAGGAATAGTATCCACTAGTGGCGATGTCTACAGCTTTGGTATAATGCTGCTGGAGATGTACACGAGGAAGAAGCCGACAGATGAAATGTTTGGTGAACAAATGAGCTTGAAAAGCTGGGTTAGCCAGTCTTTAAATGAAAATAAAATAACTGAAGTTGTGGATGCCAATTTGCTCAGAAGTGAAGACAATAATTTCACTGCAAAGATGCAATGTGTCTTATCCATTCTGGCATTGGCAATGGAATGTTTGGTTGACTCTCCTATGGAAAGAATCGGTATGAGGAAAGTTGTGGCTAGACTTGAAAAGATTAAAAAACGATGTTTCTAAGAACAAAAGATGCTAAAGATGGAAATGGAGAGCAAATAAAATAGTAATGTAAGGACAGTGAGAAATCTTTCTTTTTCCTCCTCTACGAGGTTCTCCAACTTTGTTTCTTGGTACCAAAAGTGCTGTTCTGTTACTGATTGCTGATGTGAAACACACAAAACATATATTTTTAGTAACTGCTAGTACAATGAAGTCTATGCAGGAAAATGGAAGTTTCGGATTGTCATTTCTATCAATTCCTACTAAATCAATACTCAAACCAATAAAGATTTACAGCAAGAAAAGGAAATATATGACCTCTTTTTTTTTTAATGATGATACGTTCCTTTTACACATGAATTTTCCACAAGAAATCTTAAAATGGGTTCATTTAAACCAATTTCAGAGAACATGTAATCACATTACACATACTTGGCTTTTCCGCCGATACGTATGACAATGAACACACAAATCTTGTTTTTCTTCTAATTAGCAGTATGACTACGAAGTCCCCAAGCTGGAAAACAATTGATAGATGAATATAACTTTCAATCAGTAGAATGTAATTTCACAAGGCAAGTCCGAACTCTTAACACTTAGAATAAGGGCATCTCCATCGATACACCAAATTGGTGTAAAGGGCAATAATTCAATCCAATCATACACCAAATCTCTAAGCCATTTTGGTGCAATGAATAGTGTTCCACCAAGTATATTTTTTATTTTATAATTTTAGTAACAATATAATTTGGAATTAAATAATTTCTATAATAAATTAATTGTTAAGAATTAAAATATAAGGAAATACCGTTGAATCAAGAAATTTATCCTACAAACTCGCACCCCTCTAGACAAAGGGTAAAAGTGCAAGGGTGGCTAAAATGTAGAAGGCTCGCGAAAGGAAGGGGCGAACCATCCCCATTTCAGATCGAGAGAAATCGTTATTAAATTACACATAAGTATTTTAAGCATAACATCTAAACTAATGAACATATGACACATAAGATGATTAATAACACGTCAATGTGCAACAGAATCAGTTACAACTATTAAATCACTGCCACACGTTATTTTCTAGAATAACCTAATTTCCCCCGAGGCCTTGAAGGAAATTTATAAATATCCTGTCTAAGACAATGAAAGCATGCAAATTCAAATATTTACCTCTCAAATAATCATTTCCCCAATCGCTCCAATTTGAGCATCGGAACGAGAGAGTTGAAGAGGAAAAAATCTTCGCTGGTGAGATGAATTTGTCGATTGTAATTTTATAGCCAACAAACACAATTTATTTTGTGTAATATTTGGTGTAATGGTTGAAGTTGACTTGATAAAATGTTACGAAAATCGCATCAATTTGACATGAAAGTTTTACATATTTAACGCTAATAGTTGGAGATGGCTTAAAGCAACTTCTCTACTTGTTGTAAATTAATCAAAGGGTATCTGTGCAATGCCATTTCCATTAGAAATTTGAAAGAAACTAATATAAACTTTAAACTATATGTTCCATATTTAGAGGCTGTCTGGAGCTGATTAAAATGGATACAAAAATTGATTTTTGGTCCGTTATGCATCAATTCAGCCTGTCTTCAGCCTGCAAATGTTGACTTCTATTTCTCACATGCGGGCTCCACATTGAAAAGCAACGGTATAAAAATCAATTTCTTTCCTCAAGAAATTTCAACCAGACACAGCCTTAGATTCCTAGCAGCCATTGTGGGCTGCTGTGCAGTCACAGTCATACATGCATAAGTAGACATTTTTTTTATTGAAAAGTCAGAAATATACCATGCCATGATGCTGCGTCGCAAGAGCCTTTAGTTCAAACCCATTTCTAAAATACCAACTTGTTGACTTTAATCATTCGATGACGTGAACAAAATCCTTCCTTTTTGTAAAGTGGATACACTAAGCAAGGCCGCCAAATTAATTTTCTTATAATAAAAAGTGACTCAAGTTTCCAACCATTAAACTAATGAATCATAATGGTCACTTGGCTGGAAATATTAACTTAAATGTGTCAATTAAAATGTTAACCTATTGAGGAAATGTGTTTGACAATTGCGGTTTTAAAAATTGGGGTTTAAAATCTTTTTCTTGACATAGTTACTGGTTAATGTCGTTTGTATCTATGTTGATGTTTAATACTGATATATAGGATTTTCGGTTATTGCTTTCAAGATGAGTGACCATTAGTATAACTGTTAGAAATTTGAGTGACTATTGCTGCACGAAAATTATTTCAATGACCATTTTAATTTTTTTAACAAACTTCAATGTTGGTAGCCGAAATTAATCCAACTTTTTCTATATAAAAAACTAAAAAGACAGGACCATGGGTCCATGACTATAACAAAGATTTGGAGCCTAGTCACTAGTCTGCGGTCAACCTCTCAAAATTGGCGTTTTTCTTTTATTTCCTTTTTTGGTAGGCTGGGCGTAGGTTCCTTTTATTCTTTTCCCCTTTTCTCTTTTACTTGTTTTAAATTTAAATTTAAATGTTCAACCCCTTCAAAAATCAAACGTGACATTGACACAATAGTTTTCACATCAAATGGATGAAAACAGTATTTAAGAACCCACACGCTACAAAATTGAAAGATTGAAAAATCGAGTGTTAAATTTTTAAAGTTGTGAACCTACTTGTCCTTTTACGAAATTTCGACATTGCAAATTTCTTATAAAAAATGAACCAAGCCATGAGGAGTAACAAAGATTTGGGGTGTAGCCAACATAAACAAATCATTTAATAACTTTGGATCTAATCTCTTTATTCAAATAATATTTTAATATGTCCAAATGGTCAGAAATTGTGGACAATCAATGTGCTACAAAATCGAAATAGGGAACCACTTGCAACTTTCTTATAAGAAATAAATAGAGCCATAACTCTTGACAAAGATTTACATTACAAACTTGCACAAATAAAAAGTTTCAGATTCATGGAAAAACTCTGCTTCTTCATTGCAGTGTTATCACTAAACTATTTTACATTTTGCTTAGCCACAGATGAAGAAGCACTTCTTGCCTTCAAAACCGGAATCACTTCAGATCCTAACAAAATCTTGGCCAAGAGCTGGTCGACAAATACGTCCATTTGCAACTGGATAGGTGTTTCTTGCAGCAGGACACGGCAAAGAGTCACGGCCTTAAATTTTTCAGGCTTTGGCTTCAGGGGAACCATTGCTCCACATCTTGGAAATTTAACATTTCTAAGTTCTTTAGACGTTAACTCCAACAACTTCACCGGGATAATACCCTTTGAGCTTTCTCACTTACATCGTTTAAAAGATATAAATGTGGGATTTAACGGCTTCACTGGAGAGGTACCATCATGGTTCGGAACCTTACCAGAACTTCAGCGTATTGTTCTGAGTAACAACAATTTCTCCGGCAGCATCCCTGCGTCGTTAGGCAACAATTCAAAGCTGCAAACACTGCAAATGGGGTACAATTTTTTTGATGGAAATATTCCAAAAGAGATTGGCAATCTTTCTACCCTGGAAACATTAGATTTACAGAATAATCAACTTTCAGGTTTCATACCTATCGGTATCTTCAATATGTCTTCTTTGAAAGTACTTGATCTCACGGCTAATACCCTGTCAGGAAGGCTGCCGGAGGATATATGTGATAATATCCCAAAACTCGAAATACTCTCTCTCTCTCAGAATAAACTTTCTGGGCAAATTCCAACAAATATATTCAGATGCAAATACCTTGAGGTCATGTCATTTTCCAATAATCAATTCAATGGAAGCATACCAAGTGCAATTGGAAGATTGACAGTTCTTAGGAACTTATATCTGGGGACAAACAACTTCGGAGGTACGATTTCTTCACTCTGTATTTTGCATAATGATCTTTCGAGCTACAGCAATGCAGAAAGGAAAATATCTGCATTTATATTAAGTTTAATAGTCATTCAAACAAATACTCTATGTAGTGGTGTCAATGGGCCGGCCGAGCCGGCCCATTGTTGCACGAGCACGAGCCGAGCTCGTGGCTCGTTGGCCTTTTGGGCGAGCTCGGCTCGTGCTCGAGCTCGCCCAAAGCGAGCGGCTCGGCTCGCCGGCTCGC